TACACATAGCCTTTCATATATGCTAAAATAAAACACTAACTTTCTTTGTAATTCATTTTGATTTATACTCACTGTTGGTTTTTTTGCATTCTTGTGTATGCTTATTTGTTATTGTTAAAAGCTCTTATGGAAAATTTTGTTTTGACCTCTGAAACAAATGTAGACAGCTTAGTAACTGAATAATCTCTATTCAGAAGTGCTGCTGTAGGATCTATCTTCTGTCTCTTTTTAAATATATATATTTTTTATTGATTTCAGAGAGGAAGGGAGAAGGAGAGACAGAAACATCAATGACAAGAATCACTGACTGGCTGTCTTCTGTACCCCCCTACTGGAGATCGAGCCTGTAACCCAGGCATTTGCCCTGTCCGGGAATTGAACCGTGACCTCCTGGTTCACAGGTCGAGGCTCAACCACTGAGCAACACTGGCCAGGCCTTCTTCTTCTGCTTCTGCTTCTTCTTCTGCTTCTTCTGCTTCTTCTCCTCCTCCTCCTCCTCATCCCTTCCACTTACCTTCTACTTTACAGTTATTTCAAATTTACATCTGTGTGCCTCAGAATATTTAAAATGATCACAAGCTGACTCTACAGATGTGTCCCTCGTCTTGCTGCTCTGGTCCTCCTGCAGCCCACTGCACTTGAACCCGTCCTTTCCAGCTCCCTGCTGGGACAGTACACACCTTGACAGACGAGAAGACGCCTCCCAAGACCTCCTTCTGGTGACTGGGCTTTCTCCCCAGTAGGCCTTGGTTCCTTACTGGGGAGGGCAAGGATGCTCCTGCTCTCTCCTTACCCCCCTGCATGGCCTGGCTCTTCAAAAACCTGCAGTGAGCTGGCAGGAACTTGGGCTATCTGATCACTGGCTCAACACCAACTTCCTTTTATTGAGAGGTGACAAGGTTGTGGACACCAGCCTTGACACAACCACCCTATCCGCCCCACAAACATTCTCAGGGAAGGGAACCGGTGGGAGTCAGCCCTTGACTCAGTCCTCTCAGCCACACATGGTCAGAAGCCTCCTCACCTTAATGCAGGAAAGGAAGCTGGGGGTGGGCTGAGTCACTCTACGGCTCAGTGCTGCAGGCAGCTGGTTACCTTGGAGCCTTGAAGAAGCAGCTCTACCTTGGTTGCAGCTGAGGCCCCAGTCTACATCGGAACACTGCGGCATCTGGAGGGTAAGACGGAAGTTTCCCTGGGGCTGGAATGTTCTCCCAGGAGCAGACCCCTGTCCACCAAGGTCCTCCTGAGGTCAGCTTACCCTTTATGTCCCTGCTGGGACAGTACACACCTCGACAGACGAGAAGACGCCTCCCGAGACCTCCTTCTGGTGACTGGGCTTTCTCCCCAGTAGGCCTTGGTTCCTTACTGGGGAGGGCAAGGATGCTCCTGCTCTCCCCTTACCACCCTGCCTGG